CAACCAGATGAAAATATTGATGCACCACTTCACTGAACTCGTACAAAAAATTCTTATTGCTTGGTTTCTCGTAGTCCTAATTTCTTACAATCTTGTACCTATATCGCTCTTATTATATCTTTATATCCTTTTAAATTTTTGTATCGACGATATGTTCTAAGGATAAAAAGTACGAGTTGCTGAAGACCCGATTTTGGCTGACACAGCGCAATTTTAAGGCATTGACGGATAAGTACATGAGCGTGAAGGATAAGAAGGATAAGCTCAAGAAGAAACAAATGTTCTATCAGATGCACAGAGAAACTCCACGATCTGCATACCGCGGGGTGGAAACGCCATCCAGTATCTCTGTGCCGACCTCGGAATCAGGGTAAAGTGTAAAAGCTTTAAACAATACAAAAAGGATATGATGGATATTGCATCTTTGAAGATCGGAGTAACAAAAACGGATCTCCTTTTATAAACTGCGGTTCACTTAACACTACAAATGTTTTGAAGCAGCAATGTATTCCTCTTCTTTCTTTCAGTGAAAAAAGAAGGAGAAGGAGAACGCATCAAAGCATTTTGTAGTATCAAGTGGACTGCAGCCATAAAATTGTGCCATTTAATAGTATAAGTTCCGACAAATGGTTACTGCTACGTATCGCGTCATCCTGCATAATTCGAATATTTGTAAATTATTCGAAAATAAAATGATATCGTGATATTCGTTTTCATTGCTGTTTGCAGGTACTCTATGGAATCGTTGGGTTCTACAAATAAAATGTGCGCTTTTATATTCGAGTCGACCGATGTTATGAATATATTAACGCCCATGGGAACGATCGATTAGGAAAGCGTACAGAACTGCTGATGGTTTTCGCATATTCTTCAATCGTAAACCTCCGCGACCTATGGATTCCCAAAATATGTAATCTTAAATTGTAGTTTTCTAACAAAGAGATACATTTTTTCTTCGTTTATTACTTTTTCATAATGTTATCATGTTTCATTATATTATCTCGAGTTCGCAGTGTTATTTTATTTAATTTACGTACAAGCGAGAATGCGAACTTTCGTTGTAAAATTAAAGAAATACGATCTCAAATATGTGAAAGAAAATGTGAATTATTTTTATTATAAATTTATGGAGAAGAAATGTTAGTTACGTATTTGAGATATATGTTTAATATAGATATTATTCCTTATCAAAAACATTAAGTTTTTTTCTTATCAGTTTCGTATTCGCAAATCAAGTACGTGTGTAGTTGACGTGAACACAACATAGATATTGATATATTCTAAGATTTATTGGTCATTTTTCGATATACATATTATATAAATTTGTGAAATTTAAATATATTTATTATTTGGCCAGTCGGGTCGAACAAAAACGACTTTTGTTACATATTATATAATCTATTACTCGTTCTTCAGACTTATGCGTCATACGTCTATTATAGATTTGATACCTTGCAGATTCGAATTCGCATTTAAATCCACACTTTAATTGAATTTAAAGCGACATTCGATCGGTAAGGTAGGCGACAATTCTTCCGCGATAAAAACATTCGCCGATCTTGCCCGGTTCTCAGGCTGCGTTCCCAAGTTCCCACTATACGTGTCGCGCGTAAACATCCCGTCCGATTAACGTGATCCTCCTCCGCGTAAACTCACTCTGCATCTCTTTCTTAACTGTCCCCCTAGAAAGAGACGAAGAGTGGGTTTACGCGGAAGATAATGTAATAAAATGGAATGTTTTGATTGGTTAACGACAGACGACGCGACGCGTTTAGAGAATCGAGTCCCAGGGCTCGATGCTCGATGCTTCAAGGCTTCAAGTGCCCACGGCCCACGGCCACAAGTGGCTTTTCTTTCAGTTATATATGTTCTAAGGTGTAATAGCGCGAGCTACGTATGTACGAAGTGGAGTAAAGTTTTGTATGTATAAACAAAGTTATTTCTCAGTTAAACTAATAATGCCGTGTGAGAAAGCAACGACCATGTACGAATGCCACAAATTTATTTAATATCTCCAACGTAATAGCATATTTCAAGTTAGGTTAGGTTAGATATCCTACAATAACCATGTGTTTACAAAATGACAAATTTAATTTAATTTAATTTTTAATAAAGATTTAATTAAATTTCACCGCGGTATCCTGCTTTTTATTATTCCACACTAGTCCACCGTTAAGCAGCAAACTTCCAAGCGCCGTCTTTACTTTGTGCCTTTACCTGAAATACTGTTGTGACACGTATGTAAAAAGTTGCATATATACGCACACATGGCGGTACTTACAGATCCCGTCGAATACCTTTGCTGAGATTTACCGCACCCGCATGGAACCGAAATAATTTGAATCCTGCATTCAGGGTGACACGTAGCCGGGCACGCTCTACACTTGAGTGCTATCTTTCCAAACCTGATTCTGACGTCGCAAACGGAAGGAGAATATGATATATATATATATATAACTTGGTTACGATATGATCTTTCTCTGAATTATATCTTTGTTGTACATACGTGTATTACCTTTTACCACATGGAGTACACGTTTCCGGTTTAATAACTATCTTTGACATAAAGCTATGATTCGCAGAAGACGCTTCAGCATTCGACAGTTTGGAATCAATATATTCTTTCGTAGTCTTGGCAACTTGGTGGAGTTTAACATTTGCACGTTTATCTAACGTGCTTCCCTGTTTATTCATTGTGCAACATTCACCATTAGGTTTATATTCTTTCCATTTTTTCTCTCTTTGAGCCTTTACAATGATATCGGTATCCAAATCATCTTCCGATTTGGACAAACAATTCAAGTCACTTAATATCGAGCCTGTAGAATCTGTTTCCACTATTCTAGTCAAACTACAATACAAAAGTCGATCACGTATCAAGACGTATTATTACTTCCTACTTACAACTTTACGCTGAATTTGATACCTACTGTCTATCACCCCGTTTATCTTGGACGTTTAGATTATTATATTTAACGTCGATTTCGGGTTTGTTAAGAAATTGTAGCTTTTCCTTGATATCTTCGTTCAAGTTTGCTTCTTCATCGTGGAACAACACCTCTCTAGCCATATTACGTTGGGTTTCCTTTCAAACGTAAACACACTTATTGATACAAAACTAACAATAAGTTGAAAAGACAAACGTTTTAATTCATTTATATTTTCTTAAAACATTTTTCTTTCGCATTTCTCTATATATAATACATGAAAAAGGAACGTAATGTACCAATATGTTTTTATGATGCTCGATCACTCGACGTTTACGTTTTTCCTCCTCTAAATTTCTTCTGGCATAACACAACTTTTGACGAAGACTCGCAGTTTCTCGGCGACTTTGATCTAAATCTAAACGAAGTTGTCGATATTCTTGCAAAGGTAGACATTTTATTTGTGGCACATTAGTCAAACCTGTATCAGAAAGTAGATTACAACGCGTAGGTACTTGTCTGGATTCTGGATAAATTTAATTATATGCCTTTGATATAATAATCGTATCAAAGATATTTTATTTTATTTAAATGACCATCCCATATGTGTCGTCATTTGGACCATGTGATAGATTTGTGAAAATGAAGAGTGTTTGGATTATACAGACCTTTATTTAATTCGTTACTCATGAAGGATGATGTCATGTTCCATGAATCTTATAACATTAAGGACTGATAGTTCTTTGTGTCCTAATCGATTTATGCCAAAATATCTGTATTTAATAGCTGCAATGTGTAGATATTTGGCAAGTGAGTAGAGCTTTTATGACAACAGAAAAATTCTTGTGCGAGATATGTTATGTATATAAATATGTGTGTACATACATACATACATACAATCAATTATCCTTCAAGTCCTTTACATCTGCCAAACAGTTAAATAGAAAATTCCTAGTTAATTTAAAGATATTCCTATATGTGGTAGAGAAATTTTGAAAAAAACATGCTGATGATATTCAGAATTTCGCGTGTTGGCAATGAGTACTGTACTAGGCTAAAGCTAATAAATTGTATCGACGATGTTGTCCAGGTCCAGACGATCGGGCGCTCAACCACTGCTGGATGCAACGATTGAAAAGCGATTTGCACCAAGATTTTGCGGATAATAAATAAATTAAATAAATAGAACAAAGTAGATGAGGAGATAATGTCATCACAGGCGTTATTACACGGTTTGCCAGAAACGCCCTTTAAATATAAATCTGGAATACGTGATGAATTGATAGCAGACTTGAGAAAAGCGATAATTAACGGTGAATACTTACAACAATCTGAAATTGAGGTATTCTCAATAGATTAATAGACGTTTCATAAATTTACTTGCTGCTATCCCATGACCCATACACATAGTACACATGCACACGCAAATGTTTTCTATTGAGAAAGGGAAAAAAATTGTAGGAAAAGATCGATGCTCTTTGCAAATGGATGTGTACAACACCTAAGAAGAGCGTTTACAGATTAGATCGTTTTACAGATTATTATACAAACGATCTGAACAGTTTATACAAGGCATTGAAGCAGGTACGTCGACACAACGAGACAAAATTTTCTTTACTGATAATTATAGGATATTTTAATACGTCCAATACTAATATCCTCTCGCTATAATAAGAAGCAGTGACACATTATTTGTTTTCCAGTCAAATTATATTTTTGTACTTAAATTGTATATATCTATATACATACATTCCAAGACGCGTACATCTCAATTAACATGTCCGATATATATTATTATTCTTTAACTTTTGTAATTCCAAGAGAAAAATGTCCTTTCTGTTCTGGATATACTTTTAACGTTCCTGCTAACGTTTTTTTAGATATGTAGCTTGCGTACCTTTGTACATATATACAAGCACAGAATTTTACATGTGCGATGTATTACGTTAGGATGACAAACCGGATCCATCTATCCACTTTTTGCCGGATCTTCCGAATGGAATAGTTGCAGTCGACAGTTGGGATTCATCGGTGTCTCTTGATTTAAAGAGATGTCCAGGTGAAATTATCGTTGACGCTATATGTGGTGCAGCTGTGCTAAGAGGATCTCACGTTTATGCTCCTGGTGTTATCGGAATGCCAAATGGTAACATCTTTGCACATAGAATTCTTTTTTACAATACGTATTCGCAAGAGATCTTATATCTTATATCTTGTAATTAAATTTGTTAAACTAAATTATAGGTTTAACTATTAATACCAAAGTCAGTGTATTCGCTGATGTTACTGGTCAATGTAAGAAAGGTTTGATTAAACCATATGCAAATAGCAATAAAGTATATTTAGGCAATGGCATTCTTCGACAAACAAGGAAAGAATTATTTTGCAAACCAACGAGAAATCCATGGTACGAAATAATTTCCAATGCGCACGAGATTGGGCGTGACCCGCGTGACTGGCTTACTTAACTATATAATTATAATTGTTGGAGGATTCTCACACCTAACCCTGGTGAAAAAATTTCTCACATTTTCTCAAAAATTTTATAAGATGTGAGACTTGTGAAAAATTTTGAAAAAATATAGATTTAAAATTTCTCTTTCAGATACTTTCAGAAATAATAATTAGATGAGGATTTTCGAAATATTTTAGTATCCGTATGTGTGAAACGTTCTGATAAGATTTTCTCATATTTATTCCGATTTTTACAAAGATTGGCGGGAAAAATCTGATATTTTACTATTATTTTGTCTGAGTTTTTCTAAAAAAAAATGTTCCAAATCGTTCCAATTATTAAAAAATCTAAAAAATTCTGATCAATAATGTGAAAAATTCTGAGACATTTTTTCACCAGGGAAATTATAGATAGATATATCTCATTGTGTTGAAACTTTGATACGTGATTATTTTATTTGTTAACAAATCTCTGACATTTTCAATTGTCTTTCAGTGGTGTTGCAATAATTATGACTGATGTGATCTCACAAGTTCCGCAATTGAATTTAAATAACGAATCTTTGAGACCGCATGCCCTGTTACAAAATTTGCCGTCTATCGTGTGTAGCCTAGTTTTAAATCCCCAACCAGGTGAAACAATCTTGGACATGTGTGCTGCACCTGGTAACAAAACCACACATATTTCCCTGCTTATGAAGGGACAGGTAAAGGTTTAAAGAGGAAACAAAGGAAAAGTTTATTATACAGCACGTAACAATGCATAATAACGCGTCTTTTTATAACTATTTTTCCAAACTGTCGTACACTCAACTTTTTTTGCTGAAATTTCTGCTTTTCTGCTTAAAAGAAACAAGCGCATGTGAACTCATTTCCCGCAGAACGATGAAGAGAGAGAGAGAATGTGTATGTAGAAAGAGTATAGATACGTCGTTAATTTTAATTATTGTTTCTGTTATAATTTCCAGGGTACAATAATAGCTCTAGAGAAAAATCCAGGTAAAGTGATGCGATTTAAGGAAAAGTGTAATGACAAAAACATCAAAATATTTTGTTACGATGCTACGAAGGCTGTCATGCCTGTCATCGAACGAGAGCGCAGTTTAGCCCATACCGACGGACCTCCGTTCGAAGAAAATAATTTCGATCGTATCCTCTTAGATACTCCATGCAGCGCGTTAGGTCAAAGACCGCAATTGTACAATACAATCACGTCGGCACAACTTCATTCTTACGTTCCCTTGCAGCGAAGTCTCTTTTCTGCCGTAAGTGGACAAACGTACTTGTCATACAAATATACACCTGCCTGCGACTTGAAGCTTCAAGAAAAAAGTATTATTTATATATTAAATACTATTATATAGGCTGTTCGTCTTTTGAAGCCAAAAGGGATATTGGTTTATAGTACATGTACCGTCACAATAGCAGAAAACGAAGGAATTATCGCTTGGGCATTGAAGCAATTTCCAAAGTTGAAATTAGAATCTGTTAAAGATCAAATAAAAACAGACAAATATGGCACTCAAGGATACATCATAGATGGTTTAACGAATGAGAATGCAAAAAAAGTATGTAGATTTGGTCCTGAAAGCGATTCCGTTGGATTTTTTATTGCATGCTTGACAAAATGTTCCTGAGGCAATGAAATTCATCTAGAGACAGCTGTATCACATACTTTACTTTTACTAAAAGTCTTTACATTAACTAAAGTATGAGACTGTACCACATTATACTTAACTTTTCTTTATTGACTTAATAAATTTTTATAATATTATTCGCACTTTGTGTTCCTTACCATTGTGTATTTTTATTCTACTATTGTTCGTACATAACTCCATCTCCAATGATCTCTGTCGTTATCACGGAACAATTGTTGCATATCGCGTATAATGTTTCTACCTAATTTTAAAGAAGGAAGAAATAGACTTTATAAAGAAAAGAAGGGAGAGTTATTTAATGAAGAAAAAGATATGTGAAAAGTTTGTTCCTTTTGCATTATAACTTACATGCATTCCATGAGCGTCGGGGAAGAAGTAGAGGTACAGATATATATGCTCTTGCGATTTGAGCGTAAAATACGCAGGCCACATGGCGAAAGATGGTAGAATTAGTATATTATTGTTAGAAACATCCTAAAGTGAGATAGAAGGACATAATTATGTCTGTTATTGTATAATTATTGTCGATGACAGCTTACACTTGAGTGCTGTTACTTTCACCTCGATATGCATCGAACACCAGTCGATTTCGCTCATAATGAAGAATCTTCCCTCGCCACCGACATTTTTAACCATTAGGGGTAAGGTGACTCGCTCACCTACGAGACACTCCCCACAGTCGAAACTCATTAATTTTCTATATCGCGTCACACTTTCTATAGATATGTTTGGTGCACTCCTACTTGTATCGGTGGACTGTAAGTTTTCATTAATTGTCTCTTAAGAAAAGCAACCGTGTGATTATTTGATTAAAAATTTGAAAATAGGGCTATACGTATTCCTCGCAAGAATCCGTTTGTCGATATGGAATTTCCACAATCCATTCCGTGTTTCTTATCATCGTTTGCAGTTCTTTTGGTGAGTATTGGAAATAAGGGATATTAATCACTGTAAAAATAATGATACATATATTATAGAAGATTTCAATCTTCTTTTTTTACGATATTGTATTAATTTTATCCTCTATACCTATATGTTTTCCATATTTTTTTGTATTTATATACGAAAATTTTTACATTGTATATGTACGTGTACCGACAAGTTTATCTATGCCAATGCACAGATAAATTCATTTACCTCTCAGTAATGGTGGATCTCGATATCCGCGTAATTTAATAATTACCGAACGTCCTTGTTGCACATTTATTATTAACATTTCTTCGGGTTCGTCCAAGATGTCGCAACGAAAGAAAATAATCAATTTTATATACATTCCTGGAGAAATACTCGCCGTTTGTGTTTTACGTTCGATCATGACAGTGAAATGAGAGTAATTAGGTCTTGCCATCAATTGAAATTTGGCTGAAGAATCGCTTACGTTTTGTAGCATGACAACTTTCTATAACGGGGGGGGGGGGGGGATGAGGATGAGAGGTAGAAATAGAATATTATTTAATTTAAAAATTATATTTTACAATAATACATACCCGGTACAATTTATTTGACTCATAGTTGTGAAATTCTACAGAGTTAGGGATTGCTATTAAGATTTCTTTTTGTAACTTTGTTTTTGAGCTACTTCTCTCTGATCGCCCTGATCGAACTGACGAGGGAATTGATTCAACTCTTCTGAGAACGATAAAGAAGATAAATAGTACACACATAAATAGTACATACCGTAGCCTCGCTGCTTATTTTCGGTTAATTACAGAATACGCGTCGAAATGCGTTGAATACGCATGACGGGATGCTATAGTTGTGCCACATATATTTAAAAGTTCTTTTGAGAGAAATGATAAGAAACAATGGAAATATTTTAGTACCTGGCACAAAAATTTATCATGACGATTATAGATATTTGATTGACGTATCTCTAATAATGGGATTTGTGTCGTAGGATAACGTTTCGAAAATAGACTGACCTGTAAAAAGTTATAATTTTATGTTTATTGCATATTAAAAGCGATATTAATGAGATTATATGATAAACTTGAGAACTAAATATAAACTTACGAATAACATTTATGACATATTCTAGCGTATTCTAAATTCATATACGTAGCTAAAATAAAACATCGTCGGTATGTGGGACGTCATTTTTCGCCTTTTTTGTCAATTTTTACAAAAGACGAAAAAAAGAAAAAAGAAAGGAATAGAAGGAAAAAAATTATAACCACGTTCGTTTTCATTGCAGGAATCGTAAATAGATTTCGCGTGAGAATCATAATTATTTATTTCACAAAA